TGTGGATGTGGATGTGGAACAAAATAAAAAAATTTCTGATGAAAAAGGATAATTTCTTGTTATATATCAAAAAAAAAATTATATATTATTTTGATAAAAATGATTTATATATATTAATTATTTTCAAGAGGAATATAAAGTTAATTATCTTGTGAATTGTTATATTTACTTTATTCTAAAAAAATTACATGAGCAGGTTATTTCCTTTATTTTTTTTAAAAAAAAAGATTTATTATATTTAAAAATATTTTATTAATATTAACAAAGCTTAATTTGGACATACAATGAGCAAAATAATATAAATAGTTCACTATTTCGTCAAACCTTTCATTACTTGAATAATTCGTCCATTAAATTTTTAAAGTATGTTTTTTGCAACCGATTTAAACATTAAAATTATTCGACCCAAGCCTCTTGGAAAATTCTCCATTATTATTTTATTTTACCTTTTTAGTTTTATCTCCACAGCACAAGCTTTAATTATATACAATTCAACTGATAATACTTTTAAATGTTATTATAATGGTGAGATAACTGATAATCTTTCTAGTTGCAAAGAATATCAGGGATATGACTTACTTGATGTTACATTATCAACATTTCTACCAGCATTTATTTATATTTGCTTCTCCAAAGATTTAAAAGACACAACATTTACAAAAGCTGTGAGGTTTTTTGTAGGCTTTACCACAAATTTATATATGACGTTTATAGTAATCTACTCTTTTTTGGCTCTTAAAAGTGATATTAACATTAAGCCTCATTGGACAATAACATTTATATGTTGTAGTGTTTCTGTTTTCATAAACAGTTTATTATATGTTTTATTTAGGATACTTGATAAGCAGAAAGAGTTTTTGTATAGTAAAAATCATTTTATGATGTTTGTTAGGGTTTTAAGTAATCTAATTAACATTTTCCTAATTATTTTAGTTTATCTTTTTCTGATTACAAACCGTGATAGCATTACAACTGAGATGTTAATATGGATCTTCATCATTTCAATAGCATCATTAATTACTTCGATAGCAATAGTTTTGTATTGCAAAATGAAAGGAGGTTCTCTTGGTGCTCAAATGGATAGATTTAGAAATAAAATCGTTGGACATGTGCTCTACACATGTATCATAACTATGATATTGGCTTCACATGCTATCCTTGCTCTAGAGATTGCCTTTTGGTTCGATTTGAATAGTTATCTAAGTAAATTATTGTGGAATGTAACAGCATTAAGATTTACTATGACAATTTTGGCTTATCAAGAGCCAGTACCTGAAACTTCAATTAGAATAATTGAGGATGTTGAAAATGTGAGTGTGGATGTGGATGTGGAACAAAATAAAAAAATTTCTGATGAAAAAGGATAATTTCTTGTTATATATCAGCTGCTGCTGCTGATAATGGTGGTGATAATAACAACAAAAACAATAACAATGATAATAATAATAATCAAAGTCGAAAACGTTCTGGAGATTTTTTTCCTCAAAATACTCGAAATATATTAATTAATCCTAAAACTGGTTTTGTTCAAAAAAATCCTAATGAATCATCAATGCAATTTGGTAGTAATGGTTTTGATAGTGGTAATAGCTTTGGTGGTGTTAGTGGTAATGGCAGTGGTGCTTCATTTAACTTCAGTGTAAATGTTCCTAGAACATCACCACCAGTTTGAAAAGTAATTATTGAGATGACCGAACATATTATTTATATATAACCAAATATTGTTTGAATTTGTGGTA